CGTGCAGCTGCACGAGCGGCTTCATCGACACCAGTCTCATCCGCACCAGCTGCTTCCACCGAAAGCACAACCGTAGAGCCTGCCACACCCGCAGGCGAGACCGTTGCTGAGGCCGTAGCTACCACACAGGCGACTTCTGCTGACGATCCTACTCCGGCTGAAGGAGCCGCCCCTGCTTCTCAATCCACTCCGATCCCCAAGAAGCGTGGTCGACCGCCGAAGCAAAAGCCAGAGGCTGTAGAGAAGGCTGCTGACCCTTCAGCGTCTCAACCGCAGGCCGACGCAGCTCCGCAGAGCTCGGAAACGCAGCCAGAAGCGGCGCCTGAAGCAGCAGCACCTGCAGCGGCAACTGAAGGAGCAGAAGGAGCAGCACCAGCAGCAACGCCGGAGGCATCGGCAGCCCTTCCTTCTCAATCCACCCCGCTCCCGAAGAAGCGCGGTCGTCCGTCCAAGCAGAAGCCAGACGCCGTGGCCGCAACCGAAGCTGCTGACACTTCAGCGGCTCAATCACAAGCCGGCACAGCAGCAGCGCCCGCAGCGGCGGCACCTGAATCAACAGTACCAGCACCGGCACCTGAAGCAACGACGGAAACATCAGCAGCACCTCCTTCTCAAACCGCCCCGATTCCCAAGAAGCGCGGTCGACCGCCCAAGCAGAAGCCAGATGCAGCTGCCGACCCCCCAGCGGCTCAATCACAAGCCGACGCAGCTCTTCGAAGCTCGACAACGCAGCCAGCAGCGGGATCTGAAGCAGGGGCAGCAGCAGGGCCACCTGGAGCAGCAGCATCAGCAGCATCTGCGGCAACGGCGGAAGCATCAGCACCCACAGCACCCGCAGAGATTGCCGCTGCTGCTTCTCCATCCACTCCGATCCCCAAAAAGCGTGGTCGACCGCCCAAGAAGCCCGAGGCCGCAACTGAAGCAGCTGCTGAACCTTCAGCGGATCCGTCGCAAGCCGACGCAGCTTCCCAGAGCTCGGCTACGCAGCCAGCAACGGGATCCGAAGCAGCAGCACCAGCAGCGCCTGCAGCAACACCGGACACATCAGCAGCACCAACCGCAGAAGCTGCTGATTCTCAGAGCACCCCGATCTTGAAGAAGCGTGGTCGACCACCCAAGCCGAAGCCAGACGCCGTGGCTGCAACCGAAGCCGCCGACCCTGCAGCGGCTGACGCAGCTCCTCAGAGCTCGGCAAACCAGCCAGAAAGTGGCTCGGTGCAGGCTCCGCCCACACCCGTTGCGGCTGCCAAGCCCGGCAGAGCGACCCGGGCCAGCAAGGCTGCGAAGCAAAATGGCGCGGCAGCTGTAACCGCTGCTGCCGAGGGCCAGCCCAACGGCGCCACAGCTCTGTCCACGTCACCTGACGCGCCAATAGCGCCGACTGCGCTCACGCATGGTGCAAAAGCGAGCGAGGCTCCTGCGGCCACTGACGCCGACTTGACGCCCCCGACGTCGTCTGCTCCGGTCGTCGCTGTCAACGGCGAAGTCGCTGCAGCCAGCAGCCAAGCCGCCGAGCCCACTGCGGCCCAGAAGCGGGCAGCAGCAGCCAGAGAGAAGCGGGCGTCCAAGGCGGCCGAGCTCAAGGCGGCCAAGGAGGCGAAAGCGGCCAAGGAGGCCGCCGAGGCGGCAGCACCGCCCGCGTGCGTCGTGTGCGGCAACTCGCCCATTCACGAGAGGGAAGAATGTCCAGTATGGCAGAGTGGAGAGCAAGCTATCCTCGACCTGCTCAACATGTACCGCTACAAGACCAAGATGACCAAGAAGGACAAGGACTGCAAGAAGGAGCTCTATCACTGGCTCGCCCTGCAGTTTGGCGCACCACCCGACGCCGGAGATCTCAGCCAGGCCTCCATCGCGCCCTCGCAGGTCGGCAGCACGGCTCAGCCGGTGGCTGAAGCCCCCGCTGTTGACGCATCGCAATCCTCGGTGGCCGATGCGACTTCCACACAGGGCGAAGCCTTGACCCAGGGTACCGGCGCGGAAGCTAGCTCGGCCGAAGCTGCGCCAAAGAAGCGCAGGGCTGCCGCCAAGAAAGCGCCCACCGAGGCTGCGGGTGAGGCTGATCTGCCGCCTCCGTCTGGCGTGGCCAAGGAGCCTGCAGCGCGAGCGCCGGCCACGCGAGGACGCAAGAAGGCCGAGACAGTCTCTGCGTCCCCAGAAGACGCATCGATTGCCGTGGCGCCATCGTCACCTGTACTGCCGCCTGCGGCGCAACCGCAACCGAGCCTCCCCGGTCTCAGGGCGCCGTCCGAGTCGTCCGAGGCGGAACTCGCCACGAGCCCGTTACTGTCGGCCGCGCCGCGCGAGGCGGACGACATGGACGTGGACCCGCTGCCGACGCCCAAGACCTCGGCGGCACAGCAGCTTGAGGAGCGCAAGCGCAGGATGAAGCTCGCCGACCGCACGGCGAGCAAGGCCGAGGCCAAGGCGAAGCGCAACAGGTCGCCGGTATCGAGAGGTTCGAGCTCGTCGTCGTCGGAGACCAGCTCTGATTCGTCGGACGGCGGCGACAGTAGCGACTCGGACGGCGATTCGGACAACGAGGCGCGCGGCGATACGTCGACCCGAAGCAAGAGCGGCTCGAGGAAGTCGGTCTCCCGTGCGAAGAAGGGCGCGGCGTCCTCCTCCTCCTCCTCCTCCTCC